CTGAAGGCTGACGCTTTCCCCCAACTCTCCATCTGAACATGGATAAACATACACTGCATGTTGCAGGTGTTCATACTGACAGCAGAAACTAACACTGACAGTGCTTTAGACACAAACTGGACTGAAGTTGAGATCTGTTGCATGAGATGCCCTTGAGAGGTAAAAACACACAAACTTTCAACTGTTTTATTTCATCTACTGCTGAAGTGAAAAGTCCAAAGAAATCCACTGTCCAGTTGTCCACCGGGACGTCAGAGGTCAGAGATGAGGAGTCAGAGGAGCCAACGGAGCTGATAGCTGTTGCTCAAAGGCAATTTCATTAGGTGAAGGGGCTGAAGGACAGTAGCAGACCGTCTGGGGTCAGACTGAGCCTTTCTGCTCAGTCTACTGAAACAGCTCAAACATGAGAAAGGACGCGATGATCACTGCTGTGTCTGTCTGAAGGGAGGACACTTATTAACAAGGAATCTATTCAGAAGGAAAGGTCAGATACCCAAAGCGTTAATTACAAAGCCTGCAGCACAGACAGCCCAGACAGACTGACACTCACTGATTGGTAGATCATTTATCAATGTTTTCACCGCTGGAACAGCACACTTTAATCCATAAATGTGTCAAAATCTGGCATACAGCGGATTCAGGACTAGTGAGTGGCTTAATCCCTGCCAGTAATGGCATCCTTTTGTTAAAGTTCACTCTGACCTTTGTGTAAAGTAGATTGGTGGAAGCCCCATGGTGCTGTCAGGGGGTCAGATATTTTTGCTGGGGGCCCAGATTTGGCACTGGTCACTAGGACATCGAACAATGTGTCCAATTAGTGCTTCCAATAACCAGATCTCCATGGTGACAGAGATGTGTTTTCAGAAGCTTCATCCGTTCTGTGTTTGTGGCCCATCAGTTAAAACAAAAGCAGGTTAGCCAACAAACTGAGGCAATGGCAGCTCTTTGCATGTATTACTGAGTGCTGAATAAAAGGGGCTGCTTTATGAAACCTCTGCCACATACGGTTGGTGGTGGCTCTCAGCCACTTTCTTTCCACCCTGAGACACATATGAATATTTCACATGTGGGCTGCTTTAATCCCTCCACAGAATGTCAATACTCAGCACTTAAGAGAGCGGCCAGGCTGGCGGCCCCCCCGAGCCACCCAGCGACGCTCCCTG